TTTTTCATGTCCTTTTCTCTCCTTAAAATATCATTATGTGATAATATAAAATTGGAATAATAAAAAATATAACATACAAATTATAACAACTAGAATTTTTCAACATGACTTAAAATATGTATAAGCCTTTGATTATATAAGTCATAACTATCTAAGTATTTATATAGTCAAAGTTCTCTCTGATATAAATTAAAATGATAATTCGAAAATAATAATATAAAACCGGAAAAACTCTTAAGAATAAATTGTTAAATTTATTTAAAGCATGAATATATTATGATTGAATTTTATCTTATTTTAATATTATTATTTCGTTAAAAGAGAAAATTTTTTCTATAAACACACCATATGTATGTATAGTATATATATATATATATATATATATATATTTATAAATATATTGATAAATATATTTATGAATATATTGATAAACATATATTATATTAAGATTAATCACTACTTTAGTTTACAATAAAAAGAATTATGCGAAGATATAATTATATAAACATATTCTTGATTCATAAATTATGGATGCAGCACGGATAGGCATTAGAATGTCATTTTATTGGATGGGTCTCGAATGGATATAGCTATGAAGTTTCAATTCAAAAATGGATATACTAGCGGTAATGTATAGGTGCAGTGACGATCCCATGAAAAAGACAGCTAGGTTTCTTTGATATTTATATAAATATTTTTATTTTATTATATTTAATATTTAAGTTATCATTAATTATTTAAGTTATCAGTAGCAGAAATTGTAGATATGTTCTTTCTTGATTCATCAATTATCGATAAAAAGAAAAAAATTTAAAGTTAGCGTCTATTGATTTTATAGAAAGTAGTTTGTGAGTAATAATGATTGTTGATAACAATATAATTAGATTACACAATAATTATAGAATTATATATTTATTATCCATGAATTTATTTTATAAATCATTTTTAATAGTTCATGTATCATTATTATCATATCTTTATAAAATATTTAATTTTTTGAATATTATATAATTTTCTGATAATATAGATATCTATTAAAACGATGAATGATATATCTAATAATAAATAAATCTAATAGAGGAATATAAAAAAACGGATTTTCTTCAAGGGGGTGTTTTACCCCCTAAAACTCAAAACGGGCTCGTATAAAAAAATACATGTCCCTTATTTTGGTCTAGAATATAACATATTCAAAGCTCATTAAAAAGGAAGAACTTTGCCTTTTTGTGAGAACTTGGATAATATCGATATAGCAATCTTTCTCTTTCGCATATTAAAGATTTCACATGTATCGCATTACGACAGGTCCGCATCGTAAAGAACAAGAAAGGTCCGCTGTTACATTGTGTATACATGTTGCACATACACTGTTTACGGTCCTCTATAGAATCCATCGCTTCTCCAGTGAATCTGCATTTATTGCCATCTAAATAAAGTACCGTAGCATAAATTGCTCGTTATAACGGTCACAGCAACGCGAATAAAATGAATCAAAATATATACCTAAAGTGGCGGCGCGTGTCGTTCTCTTTTATCTATTTTTCTGTATATATTTGCGCAAAATAGTCGAACGAGGATCGAGACAGGGATGATTAGCTGGCGGATTCACTCCAGCAATGTAAATGAAACCATTGAAATGCGAAAAATTTATCCGATACGCGAACGACCGTATTATCGCACTTACAAGTGTTATTATGCATGTTTTCGATCTCCACATAAATAAAACGAACTAAAAAAGGATTATGAGAGCTTTGCACAATCGCGGTATTTACAGATAAAATTAAAAATTTATTCATTTATTTTTTATATTCTTTTATATAGAGCAATTTTATATGCAGATTAATTATCGTGGCACATAAAGTGTATTGCAATGTCAAACGCTGTAATTTTACCATAGAAAATTTCAGAAATAATTTATAATAATTAATATTC